CTTTTCGCAGACCGGTTTGTCAGGCAACACCATAATCATCTTAGTACTTTACTATGGAGGTGGAATGGTTGCAACAGAACAACTCACTGTAGGAAATCTGACGTCATTCCTCTTGTATGCTGCGTATGTTGGTATCAGTATCGGAGGTCTGAGTAGTTTTTATACTGAGCTGAATAAAGGCATGGGAGCTGCCACGAGGTTATGGGAGATTATTGATAGAAAGCCTACTATTCCTGTTACAGGTTAGTCAACTTAATATATGTATAGTGTTTTTTTTAAAGGGAAAGTATGGGAAAATTCGAAACCACCAAACCAGAGAAAATACAAGGATACTGTCTTAGGAACCATTTAGTCTTTTTTTATGAAATCAATTTTGGCATAGTCAATTTTTTGGTCAACTATGAGGTGTCCATAAAAATGAATAAATTGACCAACATTTTTTCAGTGCTCATCGACTCAGTTTCATGAAGGGATCATTTCATTGTATGGGACAAAAAAATCGGGACTGCCGAAGTTAGTCAAATTTCATAAAATATTTTTCATACAATATGAATAAAATTGATTAAATGCTAATAGACTCAGTTTCTTAAAGGGTGATTTTATTGTAAAGGAAGAAAAAGTCGGGACAACACAAGTTGGTCAAATTTAATAAAATGATTTTTCGTACAAAATGAATAAAATTGACTAATTTTTTTAATGCTGATCCACTCAGTTTCTTTTAATAATGATTTTATTGTATTTGAAGAAATTCTTACTCCTTTTTAGCAGACACGTTACACGCTGTAAAGGCCAATAAACAGACGATTCCTCGTTTCTGTCGATCGTGACGGTAATCGATCCGCCGCTACTGCTCTGCCGTTCGAGTTAATTGTTAACAACATAAGTATACACTATCGATTCGTCGTTTCGATCAACCTGAAACGACAGATTGTGAAAACAAATCGTCTCATATGTGAGGGCCTTTTGGCTGTTTCTCCACTCATTCGGTATCTGGGGCCCTATTCTCGAAGTACGAAATCCGTAGTAACGGCCGTTTTCCCACTATGGATAACCTAGGGACTTGAGTTTCGATAGGGTCAAAACCAGCAGTAGAGCTCCTTGTGAAAGAGTTCGTCCATGGAATTATTGCCACCTGAGCTATTTCTGCCGCCAAGCAGTAATGTCAGCGTTATCTACCTGCGTTCCGGTTTTGAAGGGCAGTCGTGCTGGTGAAATTACGGGCACTTGGGGCTTGTCAACTTATGTCTCAGGTTGACGGGCGCAGTGGTAGTGCTCATCCGATCTTAGCGTTTTAAAGCTCAGACAGGCGTGGTGGCGCTTACCACCAGGTCCATGACTTGTACATCCCGTCACTTGGTATTTATAAAACCATAGTATAATAATACAAGCATGGTAACTCCATACAAACGTAGTAGCGCGGTTTGTGTGAGTGCGTTCGCCGCGTGCCATGTACGGACGCACAAATTCGCATAATTTCGCGATGCACTCGCGTTGCATAGCGCTGAGTCGTCTTACGCGCGTTTCATTATTATGCGAATGTGTGCGTGCACACACATAAGTCGTGCTGCTAAGTATGAATGGAGTTACCAAATCTTGTCCTAATTATACAATGCTAAGACTATAAGAATGTATGACAACCTTAGAGGATGGAAAAAAAAATAAAAGAAAGGAGCTACCCTAACTTGAACGAACAAATGGCGGATTTCTTTACTGTCGTACCATAATCTATAGATAAGTCATTATCGACGTGCAAACATTTAATTAAAGTAGATCAATATTCCATTTGGGTATATTTTAGGTTAAATGGGAATATCCGGGAATGTCACATGAAATTTTGAATTTATTGTTTTGCGTTAGCAAATACTCAAATATTACGAAAAGTGAATTAGCACAGAAAAAAATAATTTTTGTAATTTGAGAGTATATAAAAAAGAGAAAACTTTGAAATATAAATCCTATACATTTCCAACCTCAAGATTTTTATTTTCATAGATAAATTTTTAAACAGATTCCAAATAGTGTCAGCTTTTTTGTATTTATGCACTTCCATTTAATTTTGGAAATAAATGAAAGTAGTTATCAACACTAATATTATTACCATACGTTTATGTGCTTTAAACGTGGCATAACAGGAGATGTGACAAGAGACAGTGTTAGTATAAACATGTTTAGCATATATTAAATAACATGCAAATGTCTGATTATACAATGTCAATTGACTACTGTGGGCCGAGCGCCTTTGATTTGTGCAGAAAAATCGACACTTCTCCGAAGTGAGACAAGTAGTCACGAGCAACTGCGAATTGTGACAAGCCACGTCAAACGAGCTCTATACACGTTAGCGCTCGCCTTCACTCGGTCAGCTAGGCGAGTGACACCGAACGATGGCACGGCAAGGCAAATAGGCTGTCTATACGTTGGTATTGGCCTTCACCCGGCAACGTTAGACCAACATGGTCTTTGTATTGCTGACTTTATAAAATAAGAATTTTTAGTAGTTAGAGTTGTCAGTGGGAAAAAATCGGAAACGAGTGGATAATTTTGTTTTCAGGAACTCAGAATGCCTAGTAAATAAGTCTTGTTTAATCTAAATTAAATATAAAATTATTTACCAATAAACCTAATGATGGAATTGCATTATCATGTAATCTAGTTACATTCAAAGTTATGTTAAAATTTGACTGTTCAAAATGAAGCGAATAAAATTGAAGATGGTCTTTGATTCAATGTTTATATTCGGCACTATTATACGACGGTATGATTGCCAACCATTCTTTTTTCTTTTTTGATTTGTAGGTAAAATAGAAATAGTAAAAATAATAATAATAAAATAATAATAATAAAATAATAAAAACCTCGTAGTGAATTATTTTAATAACAGAATTTCGATAATATATACGCTTCTAAGAACAACATTATCTCAAAACAATCGTTAACAACAATGATCAATATATACAAACAAACAGGCAATCTGAACAAACCAAAGCAAAATTTGGCAAGATTTATGAATAAACTACTTAAATATGTCTAATTACATGAAATATTTGGGCTTTTGTGTGATTTATAGACAGAAAAATAACACGTGGCTGTACAATGTTACATTCGGTCGATCTTCGCTTTTTCAAATGCCACATCCCGTAATGCTGTAGCGACGAATTTTTATTGATACTTAATTGTTCTCACTGTCAACATTTTTGTTCATTTTATTACAATACATGCGAATAATTCAATAAAACACTTAAAAAACTTTTGTTTTGACATTTGATGTACTTCCCTTTGACAACCGTATGATGTACCTCATGTACTGCGAAATGGACACGGTTGGCATTTAAGATGACGTTACGTATTTTCGATTCCCGTGTTTGACACAGACCAATGTAATGCTATCTCTTTTGGCTTAAGACGGCATGCAATAATTAAACAAAGACAATAACATGTTTATGTTTTCAACGTCGAAATGCATCATATACATATAACGTCTGATTTATATATGTCAACATAACATGTCCTTTAGTTTCCATAGTCTAATATTAAAGTTAAAATTATAAGCTTTAAATTTACGTTTACACATGTTAACTCTTTATGTTGTTTTAGGTGGTCTACGGCCGGTACAGAGGCCTAAAGGGGAA